CATGTGTGCCAACCGCCTGCAGGCCAACGGGCCGTCATGCCCTGCTTACCGATCCCAAGTCTCCTTCGATACAAGTATGCCTCGTGTATAAAGCGCGATGTTTTCACTGGCGCATCTGAGCCAACAGCTGTGCTGCGGTAGCAATGCAGTTACCGAGTAGTACGATCCTTTGCTTCAAAACTTCCACATCCGTATCTATGTGCAGGCAGTCTGACGGGACCACCTCTGGCGCCTGGGCCCTGCACAGCTCGGTGGCCGGGCACACTGCCAGCAGGTGATACAAATCAGCACGGCTCTGCCAACACCCAGGGCATGTAGCCAACCACTCTGGGCAGTCAGCGAAGCCCCACAAAGTTAGTGGGATGAGGCCTGTCAGTCTAGCAATGGACCATGCTCGCTGGTACTTCCAAGTTATTCGCGACCACGGTGACCATCGTAGTCGCTGGAAGAAACCCTGATCAGTAAATGCGTCAACGGACTGTCCGCGAGAAAGGGTTGGCGACAACCGCACCTGCTGGGTGAGCTGTCTCGCGAACCACTCTCTTTCGGATTTCAAGATCGCAGGTTTCAAGGCTTCTTCCTTCCAACGCTTGACCGCACGCTTGCGCTGTTCCGCATTTGCCAAGGGAGTGTGTGCACGCTGACAGAAAGCAGGAAAGTCCGGCGCCACCCCGAACTCAGTCATAATGGAGCAAACGTGGTCAAGCCAAGTAGCGCCTGTGACTCTCTGGGCTGCTATAACCACCGGCGAGATGGCACAGTCATCAGGCAGTGCTAGGAGCCTTGACCTAGCACTACAGATGCGCAAGGCGAGTCGAGCTCCCACCCGGAGCCGTATGCCCAGCTCAGCAAAAAGCCGGGCCTGCCCACCTAAGCCTAAAGAGATTTCGTGGCCAGGTGACAGCAGTTGCTTAAACGCACCATACTGTGCCGCATTGAGCTTAGCTGCTACCGCAGCAAAACCAATGCTGCAGCTTGCCAAGATCTCAGCCCCGTGTAGGACTGCAGGCTCCACTCGGGAATGATACTGGGAAATCTGAAGTGGGACCCCTATACCTAAAGCCGACATTGCAATTCCAAGTTCCGCCGTCATGGCTCGCAACCTCGCGCACGTAGCCTCCAAATGCGGCTGCATGGTCAACTGGTCATCCAAGTTTGACCCAAGGACCTGCATTTTCGGGACAGGTCTGACAGGTTCTCCTTGGATGAAGCCCAGGGAACTCGTCGCAGGGCTAGCCGCTCCTATTGCTAACACCGATGCTCTTTTGGTACCTCCTTTAAGCTGGTGGTTCCACTGAGATGCAAACCTTTGTAATGCCACATTACAAGCGCGGAGCCCGGCCAATGAGGATTGTAGAAGAAATGCGTCGTCAACAAACTGGACAATCAGCAAGCTATTAGACGCCCAGATGTCCAAAATTGAGAGGCGCTCTTGGAGGGCACAGTTCTGGAATGTAACCAACAAGTCCGTCTCATCATCGTGAGCCGATGCGATGCTTGCCACTGTTTGTGCTTTTAAGGACAAATGTGGCACGTTTGGCTGCTCTACATCTCCTGCAGCGGCACACCGGGAGAAGACTCTGGCTACCCTTCTGGGGATGTCCAGGCCTACGCCTCGCGCCACCAGTGCCACTTCATCCGCCAAACTCTTGACCAAAACTCCAAACAAATGAACAGCCGCTCGTTTGCCTTGCCCGATACCAAAATCAGAGAGTTGGACCAGCCTACCTACTACTGGCCCCAGGCGTATGCGAAAGAGATCAACGTTCAAAGCGCTATCGGCCGCAAGCCACAGTCTGCCAGATACACCTGCCTCAGAGAGGTTGCGCAGGATACCCTGCCTCCAAGCAAGATCGTATCCCTGATGGAGATCCAGTTTTTCTAAATACGTTGGCAACCCAAGATTATGTCTGATCTGAAGCGCCACCAAGATCCCTACAGCCATAAGGGTGGCATCAAACCTCCCTCCTGCTTGATGCGGGGCAGCGAAACTCTCAAGCAGATCTTTGACTTTGCTTAACCACAAGGCATCGAATATTCCAACCAACTCATCCGTGTATCCGATGGGTCGGACATTGGTGGGGTTCGATACCACGGCAGGCCCAGTTTTTCGGATTGGTGTGATTTCTCTGTACCAAAGTTTTGATGTGATCCCTAATGCCATCGCAAGATTGGTTATCGCCCATGTAAGCAAAAGCAAAACTTCACTGCTTGTAATCACTGCTCTTCTGGGGAGGTGAAGCGAGGTCCGAGAAGCCTTCTCGCTGCTGAGCACCTTGCGGACTTCATCCACTGTGAATGTCTCTCCGGCTTCTGACCTGGTGTGTCGCAGCGCTGTCCTTCTCGCATGCTTGACTTCAGACTTCACCCAGTTATGAAAATCAGCATCCTCTGGGTTGGGCTCTACGTGTCGGGCCTTGATGTCGGCAGCAAGGAAATCCAGCGTGTCTGCTGGCCCCAATTTGTTTCCCATTGGATCAAGAAAGGCTGTTTGGATGGTTTTCTTTGGCTTTAACAAAGAAGAGAGGATAAAATCAGCCTGGCCAAAACAACCTCTGGCCCCAAGGCATAACAAGTGATCAACTTTCCTTGCCGAGTGACTGTCAAGACACGGCTGGTCACTATGGCACCTTGCACTTGCAGGGTCGGGCGGCAACAGTTCAAGCAGCTGGTCTCGCCAGGACGGCTTGGCTGAGCCAAGTTGTGGGGCATTCACAACCAATAGTCCATTGTAGTGACCAGCCAATGTGAAAACCACTGCACGATACCATACAGCACGATCCAAAATACCCTGCCGTGTATCCTTCTTCCTACCGTCAGCAACCCAATCCAATATAGCCTGATGCCTCATCGCGACCCCACTCCAGCCGCAAATGTACCGGAGGGCACACTGAAGATCAACAAAGGCATCGTCCCACGAGGCATCCCTGTTCCATTTTGCTATCCCAATTTCAGACAATGCCTCACCAACGGTAACTCCCGGCAAGACACAAAGCAACAAAGCATGATCAGTTACATCCGCTAATTCACCATCAAGCTCGGAAACGGAAGTGGAACATTGGATACTGGACGAAACAGCAATTACGTCAATAGCAGTTCCTGAACGATGCGTTGGTGCGACAGGATTTGTTATGTTGCAGCAGAAGGCAGCAGGTGCAGCGATCATGTCCTTGAGGTCACGGTCAAACTTTGTCTCTAACGCTATATTAGCTCTGGAGAGCTCTGCAAAGTGCGCATTCATATCTCCCGCAATCATCAAGAGCCACCCCTCGTAACGAGGTCGATTTTGCAGCAGCTGCCATTCGCGCAGCCTTTCTTGCCAGAATGTTCTTCTTAGCGGGGCTGGGTAACCTGAATGTGGTGCATACACACAGAGCAGGATCATGTTGCCCCTTGGTCTCTGAGTGGAAGATTGCTGGCTCGCTGGAACCTCTAACCAGATGCTTCTCTGATCGCCAACACCCTCAATCTGTAGGATCGTGTTTTCTGCTTCTGCCAAAACTAGTGCTGCCACTGTTGTTTTTTCCAGAGTGCGGTCTCCTATGAAAACGTACCCGCACTTGGGCCAAGGTGCACCAGGTGGCAGGCAAGGCTCCTGTAAACTTGCAACCAAGACTCCTTGACTATGCAAGTCAGCTGCGAGTCTTGCCGTGTGAAGTTGGCAAGTCAACGTAGAAGACTTTCTCGCAAACAATCCGTTCACATTGAGTGATGCAATGACTCGGGGGATGGCTTTGCCGCGACCAGTTTCTGGCAATTCAGTAGCCGCGAGGCCGCCTTCCCAACCCCCATAGATTGCATTCATGGGAATGCCTGCAGCTGAAACAGCTAGTCGCTTGTCAGCAGACTGCAAGGCTTTCCTCAGAAAAGCATCAAAAGTCCTGTGCGTGGCCAGCTCCGCAGGCACATCAGAGAGCCCATGCGGGGGCTGGGCCTTGAGCAATGCCCGAATGTCACGTCGAAGCGCCACTGCCTTCCATAAGGCCAAATTTCTCCCTTCCTGTTGTCTGCGCGGCAATTCACGGTTTAATACATTGCCAAGCTGCTTGCAGGCAGCTTTGACACTATCCTCACTGGCCCACGAGGCCAGCTGTTCGGGCGACGTCTCTCGCAGCAAGTCCATGACTAATGACGACTAATGCTAACAACTTGAAAAACCAATCAAAATCAAAAAAAAAACTCAAACGATCTCCCTCTTGCATATAGAACAAGAAACTGTGCGACCCATCATGCATCACAAAATCCTCTTGGTCACCTTCCCTTTGACAGCTGCCTACAAAGAGCCACACTTTGCGTCACGCAACCGTCCAACCGGACGCATCTTTAGCTTCACAAACCTAACTTGGGGCATCTTGTAGGCTTCCTGTCTCAGGCTTCTCTTGCATATCATCGACAATCTGCACATCGCGCGGGGGAAGAAGCAAAGTAGCCCAGCCAACTTTCGACCCAATGAAAAAATATATGTAAGTCGATGCATCTCCAATTCTCAAGGCACTCATCTCCTACCTCCCCTAAGAAGTGTCCTAACGACCGCCATCAACAATCCTTGAGTAACCATTAGCTGGAGCGCATTGTTCTCACACCTCTTGGTCATTCCTCACAATGAGAACAAAAATTATATGTAAGTCGATGCATCTCCAATTCTCAAGGCACTGATCGCCTCACTCCCCTGCAGGAGTATCTTAAAAACCCACAAGAAAAAACCCTTGAGTTACCAGTAGCTGTGGCGCGTTGTTCTCATACCTCTTGGCCCTTCATCACTATGAAAAAAAATTATGTGCAAGTCGATGCAACTCCAAAACCCAAGGCACACATTGCCTACCTCCCTTGAAGAAGTGTCCTAAAGCCCACAAGCAACAATCATCGAGCAATCATTAGCTGGATCATGTTGTTCTCACACCTCTTGGTCCTTTCAAGCGGTTGGTTGATAAGGTCAAAATTTTGGGGGTTTCATACAGCTGTCTTGTGCTGCGTATGCCCACCGCTGTCACTCTGAGCACTCACCTCCTGGGCAAGTATTTGGAAACATCAATATCCACAGCTGCACCTTGGAGGGGGCTAGCAGTCCCGACAGGACCAAAAGCGGCCACTAACGGTGCCGCAAACTCGATCAAATTTACCTTGGTGGATTGGATCGTAAGTGTCCTAGATTCCACGGTGAACTGCAGACTCATCTTGGACGCCTTGCGGAAAGTAGCCCTTGCTGGCACGTGGATGCGGAAGACAACCTTCCGGGCATCCCCCCCTTTCTCCGCAAACCACGCGCTGGCCGCGGGTTTCTGCCAGGTCATGCCCGCTTCCTCAGCTAAGTATTCAACAGGCACCGTCGGGTTGCCGTGAAATAAGCTTTGAAGGCGCAAAGCCACTTCCTTAGCAGACCGCGGTGGGCGGTCAAAGCACAGGGAGAGCTGTGTAGCAGCCCCGGCGGCTCTACCCTCTGCCACTCGTCTGAAGGCATCCTGAATCATCTGCACGCAGCTTTGCACAGCGCGCTGAGCTTCATCCATCTGCTTCCGAGAGTACTGGGGTGTCAGGTCCTGTTTCGACGGACTTGTGGGCTTTGTCGGTGTTTCATCACGACCACTCAACATGATTCGGTCTTCTTTCTGGAGATCTTTGATAGCATCCGCCAGCAACTTGAGTGCATTTGTCGTGCCTAACTCCTCGGCATGGTCTTCGATTGAGTCACAAGCCGACCGCACTGTCTGCAACACATCATCCACCATGAGCTGCGTCTTGTTCTCCTTCTGAGGAGCCTCTGGCGTGTGCGGTTGAGCTCGAGCTTTGGGGCGACTGGACCTTGGAGGTTCACGATGTGCGAGTGGGGTTCTCGATCTTGCCGATCTTGTTGGCTGGCGGAGTGATGTACTACGGCTTCGGGACCTCTTCGTCCACCTTGGGGCGTGGTCTGCTCGCGACCTGTTGTGATCTCGAGAGTCTGATCGATACATGGCCTGACCTGGGTAAGGACAACGTCAACACACGAGGCCTACTCTACTTCAGGATAACTCCTCAGTTCAACAATGGGCTGCAGAGAGCGCCTCTGTACACTGCATTCCCCGGGCTTCTCCAGGGCCCTTGAACCATGATCCATCCAGCGTGAACAGCATTTGTGCTAGTCCAACAGCCACGCTTCGGGAGATCACTTGCCACGAAAGCGATAAGCTTGTTTGGCGGAAGCAAAATACTCTTCCAGAAAGAAAAAAAAACGGAAGGAAGGGCCTGGAGTCGAGAAGGGGGCACGGAGCGAGGAAGGACCTGGAGCCAGGAGGAGAAGAGGGAGATTTTTGCACCTCGGGGCCCCTACCGAATCGTGTCATGCTAGCCAAGTGCGTGTTTCCATGAATCAGCTCGTGCACTGGTTTTGAATCGAACGGTTCGAAAGCCTTGCCGGTGTACATGAAGCAAAATTGACACAGACCTTGACAGTCTCAGAATTCAGTAGTGATAGTCAAGATTTTTCAGCGCGCGGTGGTGATGACGACCCAATATGTTGGCCTTAGCCGTGGAGGAGACTGTTCATGCCATTGTTACTGGCTGTCGATGCGAGTCTTGGCACGCCGTTTTTGTACTCGCGCCAGACGGAAGTCCTACGACCGATCTCAACAAGCATGACGACGACCACCGCTCCTACACCAGCAACAACGGCAAGACCAACACCCAAAACGAAGAAAACACCACCAAGGGACAACTCGTTCCCCCGCCCCTAGAAAAACACAAGCAGTAACAAACACAACAACCACAGTAACAACACACAACCAGGCCAAGTTGCGTAGTACTTAGTAGGGGCCAGCGGTAACAACATCAGCAACCGCAGACTCAAGGACAAGAACCACCATCCACAACCGCAACGACAACAACAACCACAACAGAAACACCAACAACAAAAAACAGCAGCAAGAACAACAACCACAACGACACCTAATCAGGCCGAGCAGCGGAGTTCCTTAATAGGAGACAGCGACAGACAAAACAACACCAACAACAACAGCAACAACAACAACAACGAAAACAATCACAGCAACACCAACAACAAAACACAACCAGGCCAAGCTGCAAGTTCCTTAGTGGGGCGACGGCAACAACTACAGCAACTGCAAAAACAAGACCAACAGCAACCAGCCGCAACAACAACGACAACAACAACCACCACAACAACAGCAAAAACACCAACAACAAAGACAACAGCAACAGTAACAACAACAACAACAACGACGACAACAACAACAACACACAACCAGGCCAAGCTGCGGAGTTCCTTAGTGGGAGACAACGGCGACAGAAACAACAACCACCACAACAAGAACAACAACAACATCACCAACACACAACCAGGCCAAGCTGCAGGGTTCCTTAGAGGGAGACGACGAAGACCACAACGACAACAACAACACACAACCAGGCCAAGCTGCGGGGTTCCTTAGTGGGAGACAACGACGACAGGAACAACAACCACTACAACAACAACACCACCAACACACAACCAGGCCAAGCTGCAGAGTTCCTTAGTGGGAGACGACGGAGACAACAACGACAACAACCACCACAACAACACAAAAGCGACAACCACCACCACCACAACAACAACAACAACAAACCACCGCAACAAGAAGAACAGCACACCACCAGGCCAAGCTGCCGATTTCCTTAGTGGGAAACGACAACAACAACAACAACAACAACAACAACAACAACAACAACAACAACAACAACAACAATAACAACAACAACAACAACAACAACAACAACAACAACAACAACAACAACAACAACAACAACAACGGCAACAACAACAAACAACAAACCACAACAACAACCACAAAACCACCACCACCTACAACAACAACAACAACAACAACAACAACAGCAACAACAACAATAACCACAACCACAACAGCAACAACAAACAACAACACCCCAACAACCGAACACCAGGCCAAGCTGCGGAGTGCCTTAGTGGGGACGACGACGACACCAACGGCAACAGCAACAGCAACTGCAACAACAACAAACCACGACAACAACCAACCGCAACAACAACAACAACAACACAACACCAGGCCAAGCTGCTGAGATCCTCAGTGGGTGACGACTACTAAAACAAAACACCCCCCCCCCAACAACAAAAACAACAGCACGCAACCGGGCCAAGCTGCTCAGTGCCTTAGCAGGAGACAGCACGACAACGACAGCAACAACAACAACAACAACAACAACAACAAACCACAACAGCAACCAACCACAAGGACAACAACAACCGCAACAACAAAAGCAACACACCAACAACAGAACACCAGGCCAAGCTGCTGAGTTCCTTGGTGGGAGACGACGATGACCACAACGACAACAGCAACAGCAACAACAACAACAACAACAAACCACAACAACAACAACCAACCACAACCAGAACCACAACAACAACACAACACTAGGCCAAGCATCGGAGTTCCTTAGTGGGGGACGACGGCGCCAACAACGACAACAGCAGCAGCAGCAGCAGCAACAACCACCACACACCACAACAACAACCAACCACCACAACAATGACAGAAACAACAACAACAAACAATATTCACCCAGCAAACAGACAGGACAGCTTTCAACAGACAAAGGGCCGACCCCTTGATGAGTGCAGGGTCGATTACAGGTTTGCCTCAGTGCAGCAGCCGAGAACAAGAATTGGCCCCACAGTTAGTGGGGCACCTTCCTCTGGCAACTCCGCTTGGTCCTCATGCCATGCGATACGTGTAACGGCTGCGTGAAACGGCTGCAGGCTTAATGTGCACACAAGCAAGCAGTTTCACACCGGCTTGTGTTCTGTTCGTGTTCACTGTTGGGCTAGCGGGGTGCCCGCGGCATTCGTTTTACAGATGTCTACAATGTGTGTGTTTTCGCAGACTCAGGGGCGCGGCATGGCACAGATATCCCCGGCTAGCCGCGCAGCCTAACAAATCCAACATGGTAAAAGAGTGCTTCAGGTGCCAAAGCGCAGCGCAACCCTGTCTAGGAGTCGAGAACATGGGAGTAGAACCCTTTTCCCAGACGTTGACTTCCCATTTTTCAGGAGAGTCAGGACATTTGGCTCGCGGCTGGAAGGAAAAAGGAAATTGGGTTGTGTGATGCGTCAGGAACTTCGGACCCTCTGGGCACGTTGTTCAGGATAGCGTCTTCTGCGTCGCCTACTCCAGACACGGCAAGAAGTGTGGAGCCCTGGGGTTTTGAGGGATTAGGGCTTAGGGAGCAGTTTAGGGTTTTGTGTTCTGGGATTTATAGTGGTTTAGGAAATTGGATTGTTTTGACTTTCGGGGACCAGGCTTAGCGTAACTACACTTGCACGTATCCCTTTTGAACCCATGTCAAACCAAGTACTTTTACCCTTGCGGAGAACCATTTAGAAAACTTACATCATGAATTCACTTCTATAGAATCTTCGCAACACACATACAGTTGCATGCCTTGCCTTAACTCCCACTTAACCTACCTGCTTAAGCATGTATACAAGGAAACCAGAATAAGGAGCCGGCTTGGAGGGCTAAGGCGAGTAGAGCGAAGATGGGTTTAGTTGATGCATCATCGCAAGTACGAAGGAGTCGCTGGGCCCTAAACCCACCTGAACCCAACCCCATAGAAACCTATCCTTTTCAGGGTGAAACCTGGGACATATGGGATTGGATGAAGATTAAGCCCTAAACCCCAAACCCTAAACCCCAAACCGTAAAGGCCGGAGCAAGGAGAGGGCCGCTGGCGTAGCTTGTATGCCCTGAATATCCCTAAGCCCTCATGGTACTCTTAACGCAACCCGTGAAGGAACCCTCGTGGGTACATGGTGTCTTGATATACCGTGAATGGAACCCTTCATAATGCACTCCTTAAAGGAAGCCTTAAAGACCCCTTAAAGAAGCCCCTGGAGAAACTTTTATCGGGCCCCAAACCACTGGGGCCCGTATATTGATGTGCCGAAGCCCTGGAGCCCCGAACTCTGAACCTTGGACCCCAAGCCCTAGCACCAGAACCCTGCAGCCTCAAACCCCCCACGCACAGTATGACTACATGTATGCATGCATGTATGTATGTAAACACATGAATAAATATACACATATACATATAGATAATATGCATACATATTGTCACCGTAAGCTACTGTAAACCCGCAGTCCCGGACACTAAACCGTAGGGGGTTCCCTTTTGAGGTTTGCCTCGGGCGGTGCAGACAAGCAAGTGATCATCTGGACTCACAAGGCCGCGGGCTTCTTTGGGGTTCTGGGTTCTACGGGGGGTTTATCCGGATTCCTGAGTTTGAAAGGATTGAGAGTTTTTTTAGGGATTAGGTCCGCAACAGGTTTTGAGGTTTAGGATTTGGGCTTGATTGTGTTAATTAGGGACTACGGGTCTTGATCGGGGTTTGATTTGGGGCTAGGTTTTAGGGTTAGGGTTTAGCGGAGTTGGGCCGCTTGGGGCAAGCCCTTCTATTACGATCGTATGGTATTATAGTTTAGGATTAGGGTCACCTCGCTGTCTGGTGCTTTTAGCTCTAAGGGGTTGGTAGTAGGGGATGCCCCACGTTCGTCTTGGACGTTGTCTTTTTTGGCGTTATAGCTTCCGATGCAGAGAGGGTTTTCCGTTGCCTAAGCCCCGGTCTGTAGTCGAATTCGACTTATTTCCAGGTCCCCGTGCAGTCCAGCAGAGACCAGAAGAGCCACGCGCGTAGCTCGCAAGTCATTTTCCTCTGAATTGCAGTCTTTGAGCTTGTGTGCCTATGTCGTGGGTAGAAGTCGGAAAGGTCTGACAAGTCTTTCTTGCTGATCGGCTTCAATGCTTCAAGGCCTCAAGCTCGAACACTCCAACCCCTGTAGTAGGCTTCAGAGATGCTGTTGCTTCTGTCCAGCATTGACTTAGTTAGAGGTACCAAGCCCGTTTGCTGAACTTGCACCTTTAACCTAAACTCTCAAACCAGAGCCCTCCGCCCCCCCGCCCTATCCCCCTTGTTCTAAATTTGTCCTCCCACCAAATCGCAAACCCTAAATCTTGAACTGGTCAAGAAGCCCCGTTTGGGCTGTATAGGGATTAACAGAGAAGGTCCCGACTCCTTCGGGAAATGGTTCAGGGTAAAGGGTTTATGACGAAGCAGGTTGAACTGATACAAGGTTTACCTAGAGCAACCAGTGTACCTGAAAAAAGCTGATATGGACTCACAAAATTAGGTACATATCCCTTTTGTAAGGTCTCTTAGTCCTGAAAGCCTAAAACCTAAAACCTAAACCCTCTAAAGGAACCCTTGAAGTAACCCTTAAAGTAACCCTAAATCCCCAGCGCTTTTTAGTCTTGCTTCCTGTTGACGAGGCGGAGGGGATCCTCAAGTACAACCACAATGAGCCCATGCCTTGTTAGGGGGTGACTTAGGGTTCCTTTAAAGGGTGACTATGGGGGTATGAAGATCAATATCACCTTCGTGTGGATCATGAAGGTTTGGATTCTCGTCTTGAGTGTTCCCAGCCATGGTAAATGTTGTAGACAGTCTCGTCAATCAGCGAGGCAGGAGCAATTCGGCCATGGGCTTAAAGGGTAACACTGTTTTCACGCGCAACGCACAAAGCGAGTTCAACTCAGCTGTATGCTTGTCTAAGACAAGTGGGCTTGCAGACGTGTCTCACATGCATGCCCTAAGTCATCGCGGTCTCTGACCTCAACGAGCCATCAAGGCTTGACATGAATTCATCGTTATCAAGTTCGAAGTGGAACTACGACCTCTCTACAGAGCTATGTGTAGGGAGGGAATTCTACACTCCTCCTTGGCATTCCCAACTGGAAATGTCATCAAACTAGATTCCCGACCTTGCTGCAGCGGTCAAGCAGTAGCGACAGAACATGCGCCTATTCGTACTTGTAACACTTCTCAAAGCATGGCAATCGGGAAACAAATGGATAGCACCTGGAGCTCTGCTATTCGTCGTAATCAATTCAGCACTGCACATCTCCTCGTGAGTCAACCCTCGAGGAAAATTCGTTTGTACAGCTACATCCCTCCGAGTCGGTAACGCACTCGTACCCTGGGCTGGAGGCGGAACTCCCGGTGCTTCAACCACGGCGGTAGGTTGAGGATGAATGAAGGAGGATGTGGCTGAGGACTGTACGACGTGATGGGTCAATGGTACTGAATCAGCCCGGGTAGTCAATGGCTGATTAATGGCAAACCTTGGAATGGGTAGCGGTTCCTCAGAGGACCGGTCCCGTCTTGCCTCTCCAACACTAACCTGTACAACAGGACCCGTAACATTGCAGAAGGGGGAGGATGCTCCATCATCCGCATCACCCCGCCTTCCTCGGTAGGTCAAGCCTTCGAGTTCAGCACCTATGGCACGTCTCACTGCCTCTTGCCTTCTTTGCCTCCTGGCACTTACACCCTCATCATCAGCACTTACCACGTTAATTCTTGGTTCGTCACGGCAGCATCTAGACAGGCAGTATTTACCTGCCTCCCACACAAACAATGTGGACAGGAGCATCATCAACGCAACAATTGACAACTCCAAATTGAGAGGCTCCGGAGCTTCATCACCTTCGGAGGTTGCCTCTGATTCCATCATGTGCAAAACCAAAATAAGTAACACCAACTTTAGTCTCGCTCCGGCCAGATCAGGACTCGGTACAGGGGTCGCTCCTCTTTCCACTAAGGAAACCTGTATCTCAGGGGGTTCGGGACCTAAACCAACTAACCAACTAAGGGTAAGGTGTCTTGGTCCTGCTAGCACCTTGGTCAGGAGATCTGCAAGCTGGTAATCACCTGGGCAATGATCCACGTCCAGGTCTCTGTTGTCAACCATCTCCTTCACAAAGTTCGAACGGACCCTAAGATGTCTTGTCCTCATCGAGCCTGAACCCTCAGCTAGCGATATCGCAGCTAGATTATCAACCAAAAGCAACTTAACTCCTAAATCCCTCGTCAAGTCGGCCAGCATTGCCTCAGTACTCTGGGCGAGCACCACAGCTTCACAACCTGCGATCAACTCACTCTCTGCTGTTGACAAAGAGATCAAAGACTGCTTCTTTGCCTTCCAAGTGATTGCCCTTCCAAGGAACGTCACTAAAATCCCTGACACAGAATGTGCCCCGTGCGGGGAAAAGGATGCATCGGAGTACACCACAATCCGCTTCGGGCATTGCACCGGGATTAAGGAAAGCTTAAAGTCCATAGTAGAACCCAGAAAATCTAGCAGTCGCAACCCTATCTTGATCACATAGCTCGGGGCCCTAGTGCTCCAAGATCCCATCAGTGACACTGTGAATGCCACATCCACACGGGTGCGTTGGGTGAGCCAGAGTAGCTCGCCTGTTATTTTCTGGGCTCTCCTGAGTGTATCTACATCATAATTGGATTCTTCCGAAGGCAACTCACGTACCCACTCCTTTGGGATGGGTGACTTATGGCGGGGTTGAAGTTGATAGGATCTAAGGAGTTCCTCAATGTATCCCTTCTGGCCCAACATAAAACCCGAATTTCCATGGGCATCTGTGCCATGAGAAATTTCCACACCAAGAAAGGTCACCTGCTTCCCCTCTGTGGTGCCCTCTAAAGGAGTACATTGCCAGATACCCCTTAGCCAGGTGTGTGCACACTGGGCTTCCTCCGGAGTAGTTAGGAACATGATATCATCAACATAGACAAGCGCGTAACCCACTAGTTCATCCCTTTCATTAAGAATTTTCCAAACATTTCCTTCAACTGTGGATTGCGAAAGTCTAGTGCGACCCGACACGCCATTCCAAGTAGCAGTGCGCAGCACGCTGTCCCTATACTCAGACCACCAGCGAGGGGACTGTCTTAAGCCGTACACGGCCTTGCAGACCTCCCAGATTTCATTCGGTTCAGTGATTCCCATAGCCTCCAAGACCTTGGGAGGCCTGAGGAGAATTTTTCCATTCATATCTGCTGGTAGCGGGGCAAGGAGGAATGCGTTTTTCACGTCCGTTATAAATGCGAGAAATTTACGCACGGCACACTCGATCAGGATTGCACGCAGTACCTCAGACGGCACTCCGGACGCATAGAGTTCCAGTGAAGGATCCTTCTCTTCGTAATTGCCGCATCCTACCACCCTGCATTTTCTACGGTACAGGCTACCATCACCACCTGGTTTCACAGTGAAGACGGTTTTCGCGGGAAGGATCTGTGTCCCTGGTGCGGCCGCCGCCCTCAGGGCATCCCTTCCTTTTAACCTCTTGATACCCCGCATCCCTTCTAATGCACTTACCTCGGCTGTTGCTGCCGGGGTCCACGCTTCCAAATGTTTCTTAACTTCAGCCGGGGACACATTGTGCACAACCTTAAGAGGTATGGCTAGGTCTCTTAGAAGCCCCTCAACATTAGGAGTATAGAATGAATCATCTATCTTTCTTACTCCATAAGTTGTTCCAGAGGACTCTGAAAACACAGCCAAGGGATCAAGGATGGAAACCCCAATCCTAGATGGTGCACTCGAGGCACTCTCGCTTCCTTCAACTTGCAATTCCAAACCCCTTGCTGAGGGAGCACGAACAGCACTTCCTTCAAGATCTAGCGCTGAGACCACCTTGCATTGGTACACGGAGGTCTCGGTAGACTCAGGGTCATGAGTACCAAGAGTTTCGGTAACCTCTTCCTGCTCCTCCTGTCCATGAGCATCTCCAACGGTCGCATCCTCAAACTGCTCCCAAACACTTTGCATGTGCATGCAATATTCCGCGTAGTCCTCATACGTGCTCAAGTCCACCTCAAAGATGGCACCACTTGGAGGGATAGAGGAATTAGTATCGATCACATCATCAGGTGGTCCAACCTCCAACGGAGGTGTTGTAACCTCTGTATTTTCCGACAGGGAACTGGATGCAGTTGGCTTTGAAGACGGGTGATGGTATTCACTACCGTCAAGGTAAAGGTGTGCTGAGGGAGGCGTAACCTGTGGGCTCTGACTAGACGAAGCTAAACCGATCGGCGCCGGAACTAACCCTTCTTGGATGGGGCGGTCACAATAGTCGATCCACCTTTGCTCTGTCCTGCGACGCTCTTCACTAATGATCCAGTCGCCCTCTTCAAGCCTATCCTCTCCCCTAATACCCAAACCAGGCACAGGAGGTCCAGGGTTGCTAAACCCTAGGGTTCTATTCTGGAAAATCCACGGTATCTTCCTCTGCAACCTATCAATGAGTTGTACTTCCCCAGTGGTCAGCGCCGTTAGGTTTGGGGCATCCGGTCTCACTGTGCCGGCAGGATGTATTCCCTCATCACCTTCTTGGCTAACCGGGGTGATAACCCATACTCAATCAGATCTTCTTCATACAAAAATGGCAGGTCACTAGCCTCTTGAACCCCAAGCGCTGTCAACCTTTGATATGCGGCTTCAGCATCCCTCTCAACTAAGTACTCATAGAAGTCAGTCTCCTCAAGGTTCAATGCTGGTTGAACGCGAACCCCGTTGGTGGATACATCCCATCCCACTGGTTGCGTCACTGAGTCTTCTTGTTCCTCTTCGCCGTAGGAGCATTCAGACCTTGGGGTTATTGGCTCTAGGGGCGGTGGTCCAGAATCATCACTGGAAGAGGTATCACCTTCCTCCTCGTGGGAATCGGAGTTCCAACTTACTGCCCTGACACTAGCCACGGTCTCCTCCTGGGGCTTGTAGCGAAAACCCAGCTCCCTCAAGAAGTCCTGATCACTCAAAGGAATCTTTGCGGTCCCTAACGGAGTGTATCCCACTATTAACCAGTCTGGGAACTTATGCACGGCATGCGGTAAGCGAGCATCAAACTCGACTACACTCGTGGACAGGCTACAATCCATGACCGCTGGGTCGTTTCGATCAATTCCCTTTGTTGAGGTTACAGACTCGACCTGCAACCGAACATCTCCAGGGATGCAGTGGACTATGTTCTTAGATCCCCACTCATTCCTTACATCCTTATGAAGACCAATTTCAGTTGCATGCATTATCATGACAGCCGACCAGCCATCATGACCATCAGGGAGATCTTGGGTCGCCCTACGCCTTAGCAGTTTATTCAGAAACCTTGAGGTTTTTGGCAATCTTTTGCACAGGTTCGTCACACCTCTCTTTCCGCCGTGGCAAAAGGCTCCCATTACATACTTACCTTCAAATTCTCCTCTTCTATCTGCTGAAGGCCGTTCGGTTTCCTGCAATGCATGGACAACTTGACGGAAGGCACCATTGGTATAGTCCTCATCAAGAAGAAACTTGCTTGCCAAAACCTCAACCTTAGGTTCGTTGTCCCTTACCCCGTCGACAAAACTCACACTTGACTTTGCTCGTAGTCTACGAGATGGCGGCCCCAAGGGTAGAGGTGGCTCTTCAGGTGGTGGCAGCGGTGGCTCCTCAGGACCTTCCTCCTCCTGTACAATCGGAATATCTAGACCTTCTAGTTTATTGGGGTCAATGGTTCCCGCCTTGAAACCTTTGGAAGCAACCAAGTTTCCAGAGGGGGTAATGAGCACATGGCCCTTCGGAATGGTCCGATGCGGTGCTCCATATTTCGCCTCTGTCCACCGTTCCATCAGGGCCTTCTTTGCATCAGCAGGCCTCTTTATACGGTGTAGCACTGGTTGGGCGAAAGCCGGAGGATGAGGCAACGACAAAACATCTACGTTATGGCGGTGAGCAGCCCATCTGCCCGCTAGAGGCCACCACTGGATCGGGAGCTCCGCACCCCTCAACAAAGTCCTAATTCTAGACTTAATCCAACCGACTGTCCTCTCAGCCAGTCCATTTCCCTTCTTATCGGTGGGTAGGGAGTTAGAGACGGTAATCCCCTTATCGCTTAACCACCTTTGCAAATTAGTGCTCGAGAATTCGGTTCCCGGATCATGATGCACATTATGCACCGGGTACTCTTGCATTATTCTTAGGATCATCTGCTGAACCGCCTCCGTTACCTCCGCCCCAGTTTTGGTTCTCAACGGTATGAAGAACCTCAAAACCGCATGGTCTACCGGGGTGTTAAGGTCCTGGACTAAACCCTTTAAGGACTCTGGGTCATCAGGCACCTCTGCATCAGTATCAAACAGCGAGGTTCCGACCTTATCTTGTTCCACAGCGCTGAGCACAGGAACTTCCAAGTCCCCATCAAACAATTCCGGAAATAGCTCTGGTTCCGGGACAGGGGACTGGATCTCATCATCCTGTTCTTCTATTGATGCTCCTCCTGGTTTCTCTGGTTTCATAGGCGGTCCATCAACATTCTCAGGACTTGGTTTAACCGCTATCACAGACTTCGGCAATCTAAAGGCTCCCACCAACCCATACCTCAAAGTACACTTCCCGGTGACGCAGGTTTCGTCACGTCCCGCTTCAGCCACGGGAACTGGGCCAAAGAGGTCTATTGACAAGGTATACATCCGGGGATGCCTTACACGGGTATGGAAGGTGCCTAGAGCAGCGCCCTCCACACATTGCCTACAATCACGGCGATATGGTACATGCCCGCTAAGCAAGTGACGTCTCCAGCCTTCAAGGTCTGTTTCCGATAAGTCCTTCACCTCCTTGACCTCTAGGCCTTCAAGGTCTAGATTCTCCCTTAAAACCTCCGCCTGTGCTTCATCCTCTGACTCCTCCTCAGATGAAGAAATCACGCTCTCTTGCTCAAACATCGCATTCAACCGTTCCTCCTCCAAATCGTCCAAGTGCTGTTGCTCCTTGGCATGAAGCTCCGCGCAACTGGTGGAGCGAATGATGCTATCCAACACTTCGCACGTCACTCCCGCGGGTCTGCCAGAAAGTGCGCTGGCCAGATGCCTTCGAAGTCCCATTGACCAACCCAAAGCACCGTTAGCCTTAACCTCTTTATCCGGCACACTCAGATTCCCAAGGACTCCTAAGTTTAGATTTGACAACAGGCACGTGGCCCTTGGATGTTCACCATCCGCTGGAGCCTGGTTAAGGGTAGTCACCTTGGAACCTGACCAATTGAGGAAGGCTTGATGGTCTTTCCATTCTTCGGCGCGCACTTCCCTCACGTACGGCACTCCCACACCCCGAGCAACGGAAGCAAGCGACCACAACACCTGATCCTGGATACACAGGACTTCACTCCCTGTCCTCAGGTTTCGAGGGGGCGACGCAAACACCGCAGCAACTCTTCCAGAGGCCGCTGCCCACATAAGCACACGCCATACTGCATTCCTTTTAGTAAGGTCCCAGCCCTTACCTCCCGGCTCATTAAGATCAACATTCAACAGCGCAATGTTCCTCTCGTCACACCAATGAAGGAGAGGATCATCAGGCTTGGTTCTTCCAGAACACAAATGGACTAGCCACGTTTTCGAGCTCAGCAGGGATCTACGCTTGGACCTTCTGAGAGGAAGAGCCTTGAGGAGTTGCCTTCCGGTTTCTTCATCACAACCGCCAAAATCCTCTGCCAGCCTTGCAACAACTTCCTCGGAGGTTTCTGCAAGGTAGGGCTGCGCTATTAGAGCCTGCAAAACTTCCTTCCTTCCGCCAGTTGCAATCACTCGCTTCCACGCATTGGTTGGGTCCAAGGGGCTTCCGAGAGCCTCAATGTGACACTCAAGATTCTGAACCTCCTCACGGAAGGATGCCAGCCTACAGGACTCAAGTTCTGCTATCATCTTGAGGGCCTGATCCTCTTGAACCATCGGGCAGTTACTGTTCGAGAGTCCAGTATTCAATACCCCCAAAGTCGGGTGGGTCACTTTCAAACCCTTGCGACGGGACCAACTAACCTTACACCCAAGGGTCTCAACTAAGGAGCCAAGGGGCAGGATAGTCTGGGGTTTGTTGCGACTGGAGTCGTCTTGCGATGGAGGTGGAACCACGAGCGTTCCTCCTGCAGTCCTCATCCAATTTTGGCGTGAGTCACCCGCCAGAGTTACTGGGACCGTGTCGAGCTGTCCCATCGACTGCTCATACGGGACAACTGCATGAGTCGCACCGCTGTCCAACAGGGCCAACGCTTTGACTAACCTTTGATCAGCATCACTATCAACCCGAAACATTGCAACCCTATCTTCACATTCACGCACACCAGACGTCAGGCTCTGGTGCCTTATGGCAGCTGAGGTCGCCACATCATCGTCAGCAGCAACAGCCCTTACATCATGGTCCTGGGCAAGACTTCTCAGCGTCTCGAGTTGGGCCGTCAAAGACGCCAGAGTCACTGGAGTCCCCTGAACCTGGGACGGTGCCCCAACAGGGGGCTGTGTAGGTGGGGCACTCATTGGCACGGCCTTACCCTGCGGAGGAGCTGATGACGGACTATCAGTAGTCTCTGGCATCGCCTGTTGGAGGATTCGAGCGGCATCCGCGAGCATACTCTTAATATGCTGCTTCCCGTTACCCGGCGGTGGATTGGAGGGAGTTCCCGGAGGATGCTTCGGCACGCTAGAATTCTTAGGGAAATTCTTTGATAGACTCCTATCCTTATCATCCTTCAAACCGGCAGTGCAGTCATTTGCACGATGGTTTTTACTACCGCACACCTTACACCGGGCACCCTTCTCCGAAGCGCTAAATGCAGCCCAGTTGTGCTCAAATGCACAGTCCTTTCCTTTCTTACAACCGTTAGCCTGCGTGTAGAAAGTACAGGGCACCTTGCTTGTAGGGGATGTACTCGGCGAGGTATTCTTAGGCACGGGAGGAACCTTAGGAGGGTTCTTCGGCGGATGCTTAGCCTCCTTTGGCCCAGGTGGCGTGGCATCGGCCTCAACACCCTTAACTTTCGGTGGCGGTGCTGCATCCCTAGACCTGTCCTTATCATTATCCCTTGAGCCCCGATGGTTTATGGATTCCAGCTCGCTAAGGATCCTAGCATAGAGCTTGTGAACCTTTTCGTTGTCTGGATTCATATCCACCTGTAGCTCTGCTCGGCTCAAGGAGACCCTGAAGCTCACGTCAGGATATTGTTGGAGGACAGATTTAGAGATACGGGACAGTGCTCTTACTTGAAGAGCACAGTCCGGCAAAGAGCCGCCGAGCTCTGTCATACGCGCGCACCACCGCTTCCAGCGGCGGAGTATGTCGATTGTGTCTTGGATGCCCGTACCTGCCGGTGGTTCCTGAATTTGCTTCAGGCCCAGTTCACGCTCATTTAAACTGCCCGGCCCGTATATCACGAACAACTTGCATAGGAGTGGCAGAAGTCCGGACACCCTAGCAGAGCTCAGTTCATCTTTCACACTTGCCGGAGTCGCGGCAATTATCATCGATTCCATTCGACGGCTGACTCTCTGCCAACGGGGCTGATCCAACTCAGCTGAAGGCGTCGCCCGCGATGTGAGCCTGCTCATCGGATCTAACTTCAAGAAGATCCTATACCAAGAGGTCGCTTCAGACACAACCATTGACCAAAGTTCCTCTGAGTTGTCACTAACATCCGCTAGCGCTGGACGAACATTATGAAGCCAATCAGCAAAGGCTAAACACGAGTCCGCACTTAGTTCCGGAAGCGGGGGCAAGGCCTGCACGCCAGGCTTGATAACCTCCGCCTTGACTCCAGCCTTAGGGGATCCTGCCATTTCAGCTACTACGCCCTGAAGCTGGGCCATGCCAGTCAAGACCACACTCATTGGATCAAGGCCCTGCAAACCTGTGGTAGCATGGTCCTGGGTCACACCGTTACTCGGAGGCTCAGGCGTGACTTGCGCACTGTGCTGCATCATACCTGCTGGCGGCATACCCGAAGACAGAACCTGACCTGCTGGCATCATGCCTGAAGGCTGAACCTGACCTGCTGGCGGCATACCTGAAGGCGGAACCTGACCTGCTGGCATCATGCCTGAAGGTTGAACCTGACCTGCTGGCGGCATACCTGAAGGCAGAACCTGACCTGGTGGCGGCATACCTGAAGGCGGAACCTGACCTGCTGGCATCATGCCTGAAGGTTGAACCTGACCTGCTGGCGGCATACCTGAAGGCAGAACCTGACCTGGTGGCGGCATACCTGAAGGCGGAACCTGACCTGCTGGCATCATGCCTGAAGGCTGAACCTGACCTGGTGGCGGCATACCTGAAGGCGGAACCTGACCTGCTGGCATCATGCCTGAAGGTTGAACCTGACCTGCTGGCGGCATACCTGAAGGCAGAACCTGACCTGGTGGCGGCATACCTGAAGGCGGAACCTGACCTGCTGGCATCATGCCTGAAGGCTGAACCTGACCTGGTGGCGGCACGCCTGAAGGCGGAACCTGACTTGCTTGCATCATCATACCCTGAGGTCGCACCTGAGTGGTTGGCATCATCCTACCTGACAGTTGAGCCTGACCTATGGGCAGCATGCCTAAGGACGAAACCTGACCGGTAGACTGGTTCTGCATCGGTGGTGGAGGAGGTTGACCCGAGTGCCCTAAATCCACAGGGGCATGGGAGGAAGTGGTCAAATCCAAACCCGGTGCCTGGGAGCCAAATGGCCTCAAGTCCAAAGCCCTACTTGTACCCATAAGGTTACCGATACCTCTGCTAATCCACCCAAGTCCAGCAAACCCCTGGGTTACCGACTCAGTTCGGGAATTCATTGGCCTGTTCTGTACACCTTCAAAAGCCCTGGTCCTTAATTCGCTATTCTCAAGCGCAAGAGCTTCAACCTGTGCACGAAGTCTACGACCTTCCTCATCCCTTAAGGCCATCAGCTCGATCAGCTGTCGCCTCACTTCAGCTTGAACATCACTCGAAGAAACTGACGGTGGTCGAGGAGCTGGCGGAGCAGGGGAATCTGAAGGATAAAGCAACGGCGCTCTTGCTTGCAAGTGCTCAATGCGTTGAAGCATCTCCTGGTCCAGCAAGGGGGTCGCCGGAACTTGACTTTCCGAAGGGGCCCCTTGTCCTTTAGGTATTCCTCCAGAAGAAGTCACCGAAGCATATTCGACGCTGTCCCGAAGTTCGGGTTGAGTTCCAGTTCTTAGTCCACTGGTAGATCTCACGAAGCTCTCAACCGTCGTAGGCAACGTTTGAACCGCCCTCATCATACCAGAGAAGACATTCGAAGGAGCCGGAGCCGAATCCACGGGAACGTCCAGCGGACGCCCTGCCAAAACACTAGTTCCACTTCCCATATCTGCTTCACGCACAACTCCCTGGACTTCTGCAAGTGATGTCGCCACGCCTTCAACCCTGTGTGAATTCATACCAGGGCCAAAGACCCTAGGTTGACCTCTCACTTCGTCATCGATATCGAAACTCCCATGTAAAACTGGCCTTGCTCCATTCATCATAGGAGTTCGGCCTCCTGTTCGATCACCAACAGCAGTAGTAACATTTGGGCTACTCATAACCTGAAGATCAATATCACCTTCGTGTGGATCATGAAGGTTTGGATTCTCGTCTTGAGTGTTCCCAGCCATGGTAAATGTTGTAGACAGTCTCGTCAATCAGCGAGGCAGGAGCAATTCGGCCATGGGCTTAAAGGGTAACACTGTTTTCACGCGCAACGCACAAAGCGAGTTCAACTCAGCTGTATGCTTGTCTAAGACAAGTGGGCTTGCAGACGTGTCTCACATGCATGCCCTAAGTCATCGCGGTCTCTGACCTCAACGAGCCATCAAGGCTTGACATGAATTCATCGTTATCAAGTTCGAAGTGGAACTACGACCTCTCTACAGAGCTATGTGTAGGGAGGGAATTCTACAGGGTACTATACGGGTTGGGTTCCTTTTAAACGGCTCTATAAGGATTTAGAGCCCATGCCTTGTTAGGGTTTAAGGGCAGTTTAGGGTTTGGGTTTAGGGCCCTTGTTACGGTTTAGGGTTGAAGGTTTAGGGGCAACCACGGTTTAGGTTTGGGGTTTAGGGGCAACCGCCATGTGCCCAAACCCTAAACCCAAACCCAGGCCCATGCCATGTCATTGTCCGAAAGCCGTGTCATCCCACATCCTATCAGACTTTCTCTCTTCATCCTGATTTCGACCACCATACAGTAGAAGCCAGAAAGTTGGAATATCATTATCGTAACCCCTTTAAGGTAAATTATAGGGGATCCTACCATTAATCCATATTCCAACTTTCTGGAGTTCCCTGTAACTCATAAGCCACCCATCTGAACCTCTCGGTCTGGGGGGTCACGGACACCAGACTACTCAAGCCAAAAACTTTTGGTCGGGCTATTAAACGGGCCCCCGCACTGGGATCAAAGTGAAGACTCTCCAGGTACAAAGACACGGACACGTAGGATTGCTGTGGCAGGCAGCAGTGGAGACTTTAAGTTTCAGGGAGTCTGGTTCAGACTGTATGATGTTGCGAGGGGTTCTGTGTGTGTGTGTGTGTGTGTGTGTGTGTGTGTGTGTGTGTGTGTGTGTGTTTTTATGCTGATCCTGGAAGAGTCTACATAAGATGGAAGATACGACTCCCTGTAGTTCCTTATTATAGTTAGTTAAACTACATACACATAATAATATTATGGCATCTTATATGCCCCCCAAACCCCAAACCCCAAACCCCTAAACCCTAAACCCTGTCCTAATTACTCGGGCTCCGGGATTAAATCCCGCCGCGGCCACCAGGTCGATCCAATGCTTAGCCTACAACCCCGTCACCCAGCAGGCTGCGGAATCTTCCGGAAAATTAAGGTTCAGGGCTTTAAGTTAATTGTAGCAGTTTGCGGTTTAGGGTGTAGGTTTTCAGGTCGGATTTCGGGCGCACAGTTCAAG